GCGGACCCGCACTCGCTGAGGATCTTTTCTTTCCTGTAAGGCTTCTGCCAGCTCAGCCCAGCTCCCGTCCCCGTGGCTGTGGGTTGGTATTTCTGGAGCAAACATTTGGGCCTGCCCGTGCACGGGGCACGGAGGGCCTCCGTGCTCAACAGGAGGGAAGGAAAAAAAGTTCAATGTCAGATTTGTTTGTTTTGGGAGCTAAGCAGTGCCCGTTCGGGCGGCTCCCGCCGCGGGTGGCAGTGTAGCCGCCCAGGGAATCGCCTCACGTCGCTTCCCGTGGCGAGCCCTGCCTGGCCCGGCAGGTACATCTGAGGGACAGCTGTTAGTTCACTTGGTCGCGCCCTGATTTGTTTTCTCCGTGTTCCTTAAGTAGCATGCATTGTGCTGCATATACACCAGCCAATATTTTTTTCCGGTTTTTATATTTCTTGTACCAAGTGTAATACCTCTTCGATAAGATCAGGAAAAATGAGTATAGAATATACGACTGATGATAATGTGTGAAAAAAGGTTGTTTGAAGCTGTGTGGACTGGCCTAGTATCATCTGTGGCAGAGAGAGGATCTGATTTCCTTTGGACAGTATCGAACAACATTGACTGCTATAGTGCATTTTTTTTCTTCTGATATCCATGGCTGTACACTCTCCAAGTTCTAAACAGCTAAATCGTGATTCTCCGAATGGTCTGCTTTACTGCAGTCCTTGTTCCCACAGCAGGCGCATTCCTTACAGAAAAAAGGTGATGATCTTATGGAAAAAGTGTGATCAGTCCTAATTCAGCATTTCCTGGTTTGCTTAAAATATTTTTTCATTGTATGTGCAATTTTCTAGATAACTCTTTTAAGCAGTTTGAAAAAACAGAAATTCCATTGCACTCAAGTCCACGTGGGCCATAAAGCGCTGGAGCTTGTAGGTCCACTGCAGATACGTGGCATTTGGGCTAATGGAGTAACTGATAGCAGTAGGAGTTTGTCATTGTTTAGACGAGCACTAAAAGAGCTTTTCTGACAGTCAGGAAACTCAGTCGAAGGGCTCGGATTTCCTGTGCTTGCTTCCAGGTTCTAGAGGGGATTGTGTTTTCGTAGGCGCAGGCTTCTGCCTCTTTTCCAAGTGTAATTCCAGCTATGTGATCGTCTGCAACCTTTTATTTTTGATTCACTCCTGCTGTTACCTCCCAAATCACTAGATCTTGCTTATCCATTAACAGTCTTACTTTACACTTCTCATCCTAGCTTTCTCATCTCCAGGCTTTCTCAACTTCTCCCAACTATCTCTGCTGTTCGCTTTTTTTTGCTCTCATCCACTTTTCACTGTCATTACTTGTCCAGCCACCACCATTTATATTCCTAATTCTTCCTCTGATTTTCCCTTCATTATACCTTGGATAGCATCCCAATCCTCATCTCCCTCTCATAATTCCACATCTTAATTTCTTCACAGAGTTCCTGATACATTTGGCTTTATATTCCAGTTCTTTTGATCTGTCCCATTTCTGTTCTTCCCACAGGAGATCCATTTCCCCTTCCTCCTATCTATTCTCCGCAAGCCACTGTTTTGTGGCGTGGTTAACTGGTTCTTGCTTTCTCCTAGTTCTCTCCTTACCTCACAATATCCACTCGTAGTTTCTAGTTTCCTAATTTATACAGTCTCACTCTGTTTTCCTGCATGATACAGTTTTGTTGCCTATCCAGTGCTAGTTACAGCTTCTACCTCTGCTTTTTTTTCTGCCCTACATTTACCTGAATTCCTTATTCCAAACTTTCCTTTTCTCTCCTCTGCATCTGAGTTGGAAAGCTGTGTTTTCCGTGCTGCCTGCCAGGACAGTCACTGTGAACTCAGCAGATGCAGGTTCCTTGCTCTTAGTTGCAGGACCAAGTGGATAGTGGGGAAAGTCCATTTTTATGCCTGTAGTATGAGCTGGAGAGATGAACCTACTTAGTGGCTTGATGGGAAGGAAACACACAGTACAGCGTGCACTGGGTACATGGAATTCTCATAAGGTGAATTATTAACTCTTTCTTCTGAACATCTACGAATGGTGGTTTTTCAGTTTTCTCACTTTGTAAACATCAGGCGATTAAGTAGATTGAAATAGTTCTGAACATAAGCATAACAATGTATTTTTTTTTCCTATAACTATTTTTGGAAAGAATTTTGGCCATTTTGGTGTAAAGTGAGAGAAAAATGGGGCAGAGCGCATGAAAATTTTCAGCCTAAGCAGTTAAGTGGGTCTGGCTGTAAATACCGCATCTAGGCTCTAGTGGGCAGCATAGCGGTACCTGGTGAAGGCTTTCGTGTAATAAGGCACACGGGTATTTAGGCACCTTGAAACAAAGGTCACTCACTGACCAGTGCTTTGTCCTCCATAGCCAACAACCAAACTCTTCATTGATGGGAAGTTTGTTGAATCCAAAACTACTGAATGGATTGATATCCACAACCCGGTAAGTGAAATAGTCTCAGCTTATATATTAGTGATCACTGTGCAATGAGGGTCTGTGCCTCTGTTCAAGTGTTTGGCCAAAGGGGAAAGTACATACATTTCTTGAGAAAGGTTTAGACTTGGAGCTTAGGATGGATTTAGCACTGTGTGATTGCTTCTCAATTTCCTTTTCACATGAAATGTCAGTCTTAGGAAAGTGATGACCTCCTTTATCTCCCCTGTGTAGTAAAACCCTGATCTCCAGAAAGGAAGCTTAAACTCTGGTTAGAGGGGTTTTTTTGCTCATAGAAGGGCTCTGTGATCAGTATGTCAAATTTCTGAAGGTTTCCTTTCACCCTGTATGTGAAATCAACCGACTGTGATTTGATGCCAGCTGAATGTGAAGTCCTGATAGAGACTGACTTCACTCTGAGAGCAAGGTAAAAAATCCCAACAGCTGAACCTTCTCTCCTTTCAGACAGCTTCTATCTGTGGGCCACAATATTCACAGTGAATTTAGAGGTTGTATGCTATGCAGTGCAAAATGGTCTTAGATTAGTAGCACTTCTATTTGTCTGAGTCCTCCACGAAAGGCAAATGGAAATGAGGTTGCACTCAGAATTTTGACTGCCCCTAGTAAGCGTTTGGACAGCAGTTTCTAAATCTGTTCTCATAAAGCCCTATTTTGATTTGCATTGTGGAAGTGATCAGAGCAGTGAGCCATGTTTGTGACTCTCATTTGGTCTCTATGTGGCGAGCAATGTTCTTGTTTAATTTTCTTTCTCTTGTTTTGAGTAGTTTCTCTCTTAGTGATGTACCTGATGTTTTTGTCATGTTAAAGCAGACTTAATTTTAAAGAATGCATTAGAAGGAGGTTAAACTGGCAAAGACAAGCTTTTAAAGTTAAAATACTGTAGAAGTAAGGTTGCTTGTAAAAATCTTACTTTGGCCTAGTGGTCTAGGTAAACTAACATCCGTGCCAATTGCACAGTTACGTGCTGCTTTTTCCAAAGGAACCTTGCCTCATTTAATGCACAAGAGGGACAGCAGGTGAGCCAAGATGATGCAGAGGGAGAAGACCGTGGTCCACAGAAACCTTTGCCTTATACTTTCTAGAAGGTTCAAGATAGACAAGTCACTTCAACTCCAGCTTAGAAATCAGCACTGCATTTGCAGCTTTCTGGGTGCCTTATTTGAGATGGGTAGAAAGCAGGGTGTCAGAACTATTCCAGTTGTAGCCCAGGCCTTTTGTGTGCACCAAGGAAGGAGTCTGTTTTGTGCTCTCCCCTCAGAAGTGCAGCTCCTTGTAGAACAAGGATATTGGGTGTGTGGTGTGAAAGGACCGTTGAATGGTTGACAGGGACAGATGGAAAAAGTTGAGTTTGATGCAGTTTGTTTTTTTCTTCAGGCCACAAATGAAGTGGTTGGCCGTGTACCAAAAGCCACAGCCAGTGAGATGGAAGCAGCTGTGGCTTCTTGCAAAAAGGCTTTTTGGAACTGGTCAGAAACATCTGTTTTGAGTCGCCAGCAAATATTCCTGCGTTATCAACAACTCATCAAAGACAATCTGGTGAGACACCACGGCTGTGTGTGATGGCTGTTGCTGAATGCGTTGTAGTTGACTGTAGGAATTAAATTGAGAGACTCAGGGTTTACAGAGTTCTTGATGAGGCGTTGTTGCCATGATTGAGGAGCCAGCTGAGACACTGTCATGGAGAGGTGTAGCAAAGCACTCTCCGTCAAATGGGGACAGAAAGGCAGCACTTCTTAGGGAATGTTATTCTGCATTTGTCCCTTTACCAAAAGACTCCAAGAAGAACTTTCAACCTTGATGGAAAGTGTGCCAGTTGATAAAGACAAGTGGGAAATGTATGTTACTGTGTCTTTGGATTTCCCTGATTGCTTTTTCGGTGTGTCTGTGGTGTGACACCTGAAAGCTGTAGAGTAAAAGCCAAGCCACAGTTGTTTTTTCTAAAATGTCACCCTTGTGGCTTACTGGCTTCTTGTCTACAAGGAGCAAATCAGTCAGTGTAGGCTTTTCCAGGTTCTTCTTAGTCTGTTCATTGTGATGTTCAGCTCTTAAACTGTCTTGTCCCTGCATCCTATTCAATGGGCAGGCAGTTTTCTAACATTCATAAACTTCATGTTTTCCATTTTCAGAAAGAAATTTCAAAACTCATCACCTTTGAGCAAGGGAAGACCCTGGCTGATGCTGAGGGAGATGTGTTCCGAGGCCTCCGTAAGCTGTTGGCTCCTCCTGTTAAAAAAGGGGCTTTGAGAACCCATAGGAAGGGAGGAGGTCTCCTGAGCAACTGATTGCTCTGGGAGTCTTTACATGTAGCTCCCTTCATAGCCACCTCCTGAAAGAAAAGGGGCAATTGTAACTCTAACCTGAAGAGTTCCCTTAGATAGTTTCCTTAAATCACTTCCAAGTTGTTAGATACTTCCTTTTCCTAGGAGTGACTACAAATTGCTGTAAAGGGCTAAGAACTCGCTTGTGTTCAGATGTCTAAGGTTGAGTCCCAGGTGGTACAATAATACTATACCTGTCCTTCTTTTACTGGGGCTGTTGTGTCTGTGCTCCTATCACAAAGACATATAATGCACTCATGAGAGAATCCATTCACAATGAGCTCACAGTGCTTGGCAGATCAAAGGGATTTTCAGGAGCACAATGAGTTTTAAGTTGTGGGAAAAGAGGCTGGAAGAAAGACTTGGGCCAAGGCAGTGGTGAGAAGGGAGTTTGGGGACTAATTGTTAACAGATCATCCAGTGGCATATTGCCCTTTCTGCTGCAGAGGTGGTTGAACATGCTTGCAGTGTGACATCCCTCATACTGGGAGAGACCATGCCCTCCATCACTAAAGACATGGACACTTACACTTACCGTCTGCCTCTGGGCGTGTGTGCTGGAATTGCACCCTTCAATTTCCCAGCCATGATTCCTCTTTGGATGTTCCCCATGGCTATGGTTTGCGGAAACACCTTCTTGATGAAACCATCTGAGCGTGTACCAGGAGCACTCATGTTCCTTGCCAAGCTGTTTCAGGATGCTGGTGCCCCCGATGGGACCCTTAATATCATCCATGGACAACATGAAGGTAATAATAGCCCTTCTACGGAGATGACTGGAGTGTTGAAGCGTTGTGGCATATGTTCAGTGGAGGTACCGTTTGGAGAGTCTGATCCTGCTGCTGTTAGATAGGTTTGGACAGGTGCTTCAGCCCTCTCGAGGGAGGTGAAGGGAGGTGACTGGGAGATTCTCTGCCATCTTGCACCAAATCTTTCAGGAGAAATGGTGGACAAAATTTTGGGGGCTGGGGTCAGAGTTCCCAAGGCGTGGAAGTACTCAAATTGTATTTAGCAACCTAAGCTCCAACTGTAGATAAGTAGCTAAATCATCTTGGTTTCCCAAAGAAGCCTAAACAAGAATTGATCTACCTGACTGAATATGCAGTGGATGTCAGTATTCTAGCTCCTGACATGATATTTTTTACAGCCATGAGTAGCTTCAGAACATGAGGGTACAAATAGACAACAGTAACTTTGCTTCAGCATCACTCAGGCACCATGGGAGATGCCCAAAGCATGAAGAGAAAGCAGAGAGCCAGGTGTATGGGAACGGGAACAGGAGTATACATGCTGAGAAATTAGTGGAGAGGTGCATAGACAGGCAATGGGGGAACTCAGATGTGGGAAACACAGAGACAGGAATTTTGGTAAGAGGAAACATACATAGATTTAGTGCTATGGGGATGGGAACAGAGGGAAGCATTTGCATGCCACAGTTATAATGTATTATTTCCTATTCGAAGCTGTGAATTTCATTTGTGACCATCCGGATATCAGAGCAATCAGCTTTGTGGGATCTAATCAGGCTGGCGAGTACATCTATGAGAGAGGATCCCGGAATGGCAAGAGAGTCCAGGCCAACATGGTAATGCCTCTGAATGGAGCACACTTCAGCACACAGACTGCCTCTGTCTCCTGTGAATGTTAAGAGAGACCACGCCACCCAGCAGCAGAAGCTGACTTTGCTACTGATAGTTAAGTGATGAGGCTGCCCTTCTTGCCAGCCTGTTGGTAGCAGAGTCGTAGCTACTATATGAAGATATGGCCAGAGAGCTAGAGAAGTGGGCTGGGGTGGTTAATAACTGGAGACTGTGTATGTGTTATATTTCAGGGAGCCAAGAACCATGGTGTGGTGATGCCTGACGCCAATAAAGAGAACACCTTGAACCAGCTGGTTGGAGCTGCTTTTGGAGCAGCTGGCCAGCGCTGCATGGCCCTGTCTACAGCAATTCTAGTGGGAGAAGCTCAGAAATGGCTGCCAGAGCTTGTGGACAGAGCCAAAAATCTACGTGTAAATGCAGGTACAGACTGATAATTTCTTACGAGGTACTTCACTTCTGTACAACTGTAGCAAAAGCAAAAATAGGTCAGTGTATCTGCCTTACTACACTGTGTCCCTTGGAGCTATTGGCACCATATGTTTGATGTGTAGGGGTAGGAGATAGCATTGTCTGGACTGGGAAACACAGTCCTAGACTTGGAGTTAGGAATATGTAGGAAGGCTAGGCAGTATGACTGATGTGAAGTTTACAGGATCGGTCTTGTTTTAACTGGAGCTTTGAGGTTATGTCCTATGTTTAACTCAAACCTATCATTTATATAGCAACCTCACTTAGAGATCCTTCCAATTTGTAGTAAGCATGCAATAAAAAGGAAAAATGGAAACAAGTACTTTGGAAAAACTAGACTGTTATTGATTCTAGGAGAATTATCTTTTGTTTATGTTCAATAAGGTCTTGCAAAGGGGAAAAGTTTCCTTTCTGAGAAGAATCTGTTGAATTTTGGCTTCCCAGTGATCTAAAATTATGCTTATGCTTACAATTTCTCTTATTTGTTGATTATGAGAGTTGCAGGCTATTACCCCTGTTCATTAATGTCTCAAATATTTGTTCTGTGTCTCAGAAACATGAAGATTTTCAGATTTTTCCTGCCAGTGTAGTTATCTGTATGATGCTTGTCAAGAGGAAGCTGTCAGGGTTTAAAACTTGGTGTCTCTGCCTCTTCACAGGAGACCGGCCTGGAGCAGATCTAGGCCCTCTAATCAGTCCCCAGGCTAAGGAACGGGTTTGCCATCTGGTTGAGAAAGGAGTGAAAGAAGGTGCCAGCCTTCTTCTGGATGGACGTAATATCAAAGTGAAGGGCTATGAAAATGGCAATTTTGTTGGGCCCACGATCCTTGCCAATGTGAAGGTAAGATCACCAAAACCAGTGCTTGATAGTGTATATTGCAGAGTGGTATATGGTAAGCCACATAAAACTTACAACGTGTCAAATGAATGTTTTGTAGTTTGCTGTATTAGCTATTAGTGATTAAAGTACTGTCCAACTGGTGGTTTTGTATTTGTCAGATGCTGCTAATTATCAGACATGAATCATGGACAGAGTTGGAAAGGATAGCAGGTTCTAGTCACTTTGTCAACAAGAACTGAAGTAAACTGTCCTGAATTCATCCTGATCTTAATCAGCCTTGGTCAACCTGTGAGTGAGGTTAGGCAGGCAGTAAAAGCAGAAAGTGCTCCAGAAATGAAAAGTGGTACCCTTTTTAGTAGATTAGATAGTTGGCAGCGCGTGGAAAGTGGTGAAAAGGCGAGGAGGACTGAAGGATGGCCTGTGGCAGTGCAGCATGCTGGGTGATCCTAGGAATGGCCTCAGCATTAGCAGCACGTGTGTTTATTATATCCTAGCTACTAGGATATCTTTATTATATCCTGTTTATTATATCCTATATATGAGCTGCTTTTTCTGCTGTTTGTCTTGGCAGCCAAACATGACTTGCTACAAGGAGGAAATCTTTGGGCCCGTCTTAGTGGTTCTGGAGGCAGACACTTTGGATGATGCCATTGAGATAGTGAACAATAACCCCTACGGAAATGGAACTGCAATCTTCACCACCAATGGAGCCACAGCTCGGAAATACTCTCACTTAGTAGATGTGGGGCAGGTGTGTTCAAGCTAGAGTTGTTGCTATTAGTACTCAACATTTACAGCGGGTAGCCATCCAGCTGTAGTGACTAATCACTGACTACTCAGCCAACAGTACCCAGCCTCAGATTTAAGGAAACAAAATGCGGGAGCTGTTGGAGAGTGCTCTGCCATCTGCTACTTCTTGTGATTAATTTGGCAGCTTTCCTTTTGTTTAGGTTGGTGTCAACGTTCCAATCCCAGTACCTCTGCCCATGTTCTCTTTCACTGGCTCTCGTGCTTCTTTCAGAGGGGACACCAATTTCTATGGCAAGCAGGTAACTTACAGGTTCAGAGTACTCTGTTGGGTTGAATTGTGGTAAATCAGATTATAAACAGCAATGGGGAGATGGTCATCAGACCTCATTAGTAAGGAGACTTTGAAGCTATCTCAGCCAGGAAACTGAGGACGAGCCAGTGATCACAGCCACCATAATGTGTGTTACAATAACCAATTCCTTTTTTTTTTTAAATATAAAAAAGCAAGTCTCTTTTTGTAGGAGACTTGAGAAGGGAGCAAGAACCAAGTAGCAAGCTTTCTCACAGAACTGGAATCTTTGGGGAACTGGTAAAAGGAACAGGCTGACAGGAATTGTTCCCACAGAGGAAAACTCAGCTCTCTGTAGCTAAAGCAAAAACTGTTTGATACACCACTAGTGCAGACCTGAAGAATTCATAAGGCCAAACATCTGATCCTTGTGCCTCTCCTTCCCTCCAGGGAGTGCAGTTCTACACACAGCTGAAAACTATCATTTCTCAATGGAAAGAGGAAGATGCCACCGTTACCAAGCCTGCTGTGGTTATGCCAACTATGGGAAACTAAATCAGGCTTTGGAGATGCTGTTCCTGGTGCCCTTTTCCTTCTGTGCTGCACTTCCCAGCTTTGTCCTATCATCATTGCCTTGGGAATGAATAGAAAGCTCCATTTTCTCAAGGACCTCTGTTTCTGTGCAGATCAGGCAGGCTCATGTAACACACAGTATAGGTTTTCTGTTGCTGTCAGTGTTTTTTGGCTAGCTGAACTCAAATTTTTTTTCTACAACCTATCACAAATGAAACAACTTTATCTAATTGAAAGGGCAGACAGTGAGATTGGTCTTAATTTGTGTTTCTTTCCAGACCTCTGAACTTGAACATGGTTTCCACTTCAATGTTTAGCCTTAGTGACTTACTCCTAATTACATCTTGCAGCAGTTTTCTTTACCTCTATCTCACATGTTAAGATTTTGAGTTCACCTTACTCAAAGCTGAGTACTCATTTTGAGTGACATAACTGGGACACCTTGGGTGTCTCATAGAAGTGACTTTACATACAATAAAGACAGCAAGTTTGGGAATTGAAAATGTCAGTCTTTCACCTGTTGAGCAGTTTCCAAAACACTTGGGAAATGGCTTTCTAAGGATTTTTCAGGAAAGCATACTTGATTGCTTGTCTGAGGATGAAAGAAATTCCTGTATGGTACAGCGACCTTCACCGTGCCTCTGACAGCTTGGAAACTTCTGTTCCTGTTGTGCATGTGGCTTGTATTCTCCAGCTTGCCATCAGTTCCATTATACCTGAAAGTTGTTTGGTGCCTTTTTACTCTGCTAACACGTATGTGCCTGCAGGTCCTGTAACATAATGAAACTGTGGAAGCAGAAACATAAGCATGTGTATGTATCTTCACATCACAGCATCATGTGGGTCTGGGTGGAAGGGAGAGGAAGTGGACAGGCCAGCATGGACATTTTTTAATCACAAAGCAGCCAGGCCTGTTCTGTTGGTTTCTTTTCCCAACTATAGCTCTATTTCTTGTGTTGATTGATTGACTTCTCATCACATTTGCTCAAACACAGTCATGTTCTCTAGGGACTGCAGGTCCTAATACTAGAGAAGGATAAGACTTGGTATACCCTGTTTTTAAGAATCTGTGCATGTGGAGCTGGACAGCCTATATCTTTATTCCCGGTTCCTGGAAGATAATGCAGCCATGAGGGATCTGCAGGGAACTCATTCAAGCACCCATGGAAAATAATATTATTCTAATGATTATAACCATTACTTGTTCTAATTAAACAACCTGAATGTGAACACTTTGTATCCTGCCTTCTGGTAAAGATGCCTTGTAACCAACATTTATGTGTTAGTGCAATTGCTGTGTGTTCACTAATGTTTGTATCTTCCTGTTTTTTTTCCTCTGCTGTACCCTAGAGGGAAATTCTCACCTTGCAATTTTATTACGAATTAAAACATGCTAATATATTTCTGCAGAATATGACTGTTCCTTGGTAAGACATTATATAGGTGTGATGTTGACTTTATTTCCTCTTTGCAGAGACTGGTCTGCAACTCCTGTAACCCATGTATGCATCTTCCTTTGACAGTATTTCAAGGACCTCTGAACCAGTTTCCTCATTCAGCATTTCAAGGAATGCCTTGTTGCTGTTTTCACATACACATCATTTGATTACAAAAACCTCTTAAGCTTCATGTAAATGACTTTATTACAAACTGAAACTATATCTTCTTCAAAGTACAGCAACACATATATTCAGAGTTCTAACCACTAGTCCAAATCCTAGGGCTTTGTACAGGGTCATCTGAGCTCCTGCTTGGGAAAAAATAAAATCTTTACTTTAAGAAGGAGGAAAATAACTGTATTTCAGATGGATTTCAAATGCGTAGTCAAAGCTGCAGTGCAACAGAGGATTTGGAATTCGCAGCTTTGCTCACAAGGTAACTTGCAAAATGAAAAGTGCAGATGAGTCGGTAATTGTTGTGGCTGTTGTTCATGCAAAGCGTGCAGATGCCTTCGTCTCTCTGTGGTGTTAACATCTGAATATGTGGAAGGATTACTGCAGAAGATGATGACTCTGATAATTTGGCCTGCTGTGTAACGAAAATGAGATTGGGAGAAGTATTTTCTGTGCTGCAAAGGTAAAATATTCTTAGTAAATCACCATTAAGACATTGGCATTCATTCATGCACCTGGGAAAGGAATACCAATTAACAGCCTCTAATATTGTCTACAGTTACTCACTTTCAAAATGCCTTAATTTTCTTCCCAAACAGTATTGCTATTCTGACTTTTCTGTTGTCCTATTAAAACCCGTTATATCTTTCCTTTAGAAATTCTAAAATCCAGCTTCTGCTCTACAAAAGCAGTCTTTATTATCAAGCTTGCCTTGCTCCCTGAAGAATTGCAGGAGTATCTCTGCACTTCCTCCAGACCTGTTCTAGGCAGTTGTGTAATCTTTTCATTTGTGTGCAAACATAATTTCTGATTATCTGCGTTTCCAACAGTATTTTTTAAACAGATGTATTTCTAGTGCAATTATTTAAAGCCAATCTTGTATCTGCCTTTTTTAGTTACTGAAACGCCTTTTTAGATCAAGCTGCTGATGCTGACTGATCATGATGTACCTGCCTCAGCTCACTGCTGTTACTGCTTTCCACCCAGCTGTTTATTCTCCTTTTTATTTCAACATTCACTATAAAAAATTAAGCTAAAGAATATATCTTCTATATTGCACAAAAATATAACCTAAGTATAAGCTATATCATAATAAATTTGTTTAGACTCTGTTAAAGTACAATTTTATAGTAGACAACCCTTTGTCTCCTATTAAAAATTGTTTCCTGCCTAGAAGTCACTGCAGTGTAGATTCTCAGAGCTATTTGATACTCTTAAGTCCAAAAATTATCCTAAAATAGTTTAACCACCTTTGAGAATTGGGCCCTGTGACTTCCACGTCTGGGTTTTTTCACTGTCTGTGCAAAAAAAGGCTACAACCCACTTCCACTCCTGTTTCTGGAAGTTGTGGTCTGCATCTCCAAAGGAGGCATCTCATCTTTCCATATAAATCCATCCAGGGCTCCTGCTTACGAACTTTATCTGGTCATTTGATGTCTGAGCATTACATTTTGTTTTGTGTTCTTGGCTGCCTTGTGTCTGACACGGTGGTGTGCCAGAACCCTTCCCTACTTACTCCTCCAGGGTAAGCTGACATTGCTCACCTTGAAGTGTTACAATTAGCTGTACAGTTGTATCTGAGTCTGTATCTGAAAATCAGGCACATGAATCTTCATCCTCTCTAAGTGATTCTATACTGAAGACAACATCAGCTTAATAGATTTTGCCTTTTAATCAAATCTCGCTGCGCTAGCTGAAAATGCATCTCCTTGTATGATCATGGCCTTTCACAAGAGAATCCTCCAAAAATAATAAAGCTGCTTTTCAATAAGAGGAGACTTTAAGGTGGCATGATATCAATTTTGTTTTCATGAGAGCTGAGTCTAAATGCCTGCTGCCAAAAGATCAATATGACCAGAAATTTCAAAATAAATAAAAAATTCCTCTCTCTTGTCACACAAACATTTATTTGTGTATAGACACACTAATATAGGTCTCCAGACAAACCAAAGTATTCTAAAGTGGGAGGGATGGCAGACAGTTGCATCCATTTATATATAACCAGGACTGAGAAGATGTTAGATAGTGTCATATAATGTAGTATCTTACCCAATTTTGCTTTCTTTATCAGTATCATCAGGAGCTGGAGCTGAAGTAGCCAAAGCTCTGGTGCGTTTCCTGTGAGGAAGACACAAGAGCAAAGTAATCCTCATCTAAGGGTGATTTACGCTCAGCTGGGTTTCTAATTCCACACCAAGCTTGTTTTCTAAAATGAACAGCAAGCAAGAAATGCCAGGGCACCTGAGCTATTGCAGTACACTCTCCAAAATCAGCACTATGAATCAGGCATGAGTTCAGTTCACTATGGAATTCTGTATTTTGGGGCAAAATCATTACAGTTAAAAGGGGATGAGGGGAAACAAGCAAAGTTTTTTTAAAAAAATGGGTTTAATCATAAGTCATCTTCAAATGAAGTGTTTGTATTCCATTCCTCAAGCTTTCATACTCCCCAGCTTTATGTGCTCTTCTATGTTGGCAAGTACTGGTAAAAGGTGTTAAATCCGTGCATAAATTGGAAACATAAAAGCTGATGGATTGATCATTTAATTATAGATTTCTTACTTCCACAGTAATAACCTTAACAAAATTTGCTAAAGTTCCATTAATGTAACTTTTGCTAAGAAAATTTAATTTTATTTTTTAAAAAATGAAATAAACTCTTCTAACACAGAGAAGCTGATATTCTGCCCTAAGCACTAGGTCTCCCCAAATTACATTAAAAATCATAGCATTTGAGATTGTTCTTTGGGCCCTTTTATACCTCGGTTCACAGCTTATAATATATTTAACGCTGTTTGAAGTTTGAATTTCCAGTGTAAACCATATTTTAGGTATCCCTAAAGTCATGCTCCCAAGTTTCTTATGCAGACAGCAATGAGCCATAGAGTAAGGACACTTTTAATAATCTGGTTGTGGATTTTTGTACTTTTTAATACTGGGCAGATTGCTTTACAGTAGTCTTATTAAAAGGAAATATATGTGGGGAGTGCTACTGTCACAATACACATTATTTACTTGTTTGGTAAAGGTGGATAGGGATTCATTAATGACTGAACAAAATTAATCGCACTGCACTGAGCAAATTAATTCTCCTCACTTCTCTCTTCCTCAACACTACCAAATTTTACTTCCACTTGCTTTTCTTTTGATACTACACACAAAGATCTAACAATATAGTCTGGAGCACATCCAAAATTAGTATATAGTATATAACTTTTCCAAAAGGTTAAATAACCTTTTTCAAAGGTTAAAGTATCTCACACCAAGCCACACATTTAGCTGGGTTCTTATGTTAGATTCAGAGTTTCTTGGAATCCCCTGACCTGGAGTTATCAGGCCAGCTCCTGTACGAGGGAAAGCTGAGCATTCACCTGCTGAAGAAACAGAGTATTAGCATTGATTTGTGCCATTCGTTTTGGCAAAAAGCAATCGCAGAACACGTTCTTTCTGTTTCCATGTCAACTCACTGATACCCACTTTTTCAAACTGGAATTTTTCCCTGAAAAACACAGAGATCAATGTGTTAGAAGAAAATTTCAAAGGCATATCTCTCATGGATTCTGTATGTGTAAAATGGGTTTTAATTTCTAGCTCAGCATTGGTCTTGTTCAGATATTCATAGCATGTAAATTCAAAAAATAAATCTGAGCATACAGTGCTGTCTTTTCAACTTCTAAATCTGTGGCTCTCTAAACTGAATAGAACAAAGCCAATTATTTCTGTTACACATGTAGTGGTTATAAATACTGGGAGGTGGAGGGTTAGGTCTAACATGTGTTAAAGTACATTGTCCTTCCCTTTCTTCTCCTGTTCATACATAAACGGGTCAGTACATATAACCAATTTTCATTCTTGGTTCCAGTCTCCCCCTTCTCTTGCTCCAAGGAGAAGCTTCCTTAGATCTCGATAATTGCTTTCACCTCTGATTTTTCATGAAGTGTTTCTGTTGTATCATTTTTGAGATAAGATAACCTGAACTGAACAAAGCATTCCAGCTGAGTGTGTGTTGCCAAGTTATTCAATAGCCAATGCATACTAAGCAAAGATTTTATTTGGGAGTAGGATAATTTTGATCTCTTACCCAGGACGTATGCAAGCTTCAGCTATGGGGCACCTTAACTCTCTGGCTTAAAATCCAAGTGCCTGGATACTGCTGCAGTTTGTAGGCACAGACTTCTAGCAGGAGGTTGGAGACCTTTAATCCTGGCCACTGCAGCATGTGTAGCCCTAATTTAAACCAAGCTGCATCTTAATACAAACTCACACTTATAAATCTGAGATTTTGTTTTATTCACTATAAAATGTAATCCTGTCAATCAGTACTGTACTGCATGTGATCTTTTTTTAATATGTCAGTGTCTATTTCATGTAATGGCTTCATTTTTATATTATTATGAAGCTTGAGGAAAATGGCCTTTGAAAGCACAGTGCAAAGCAGGGGCTTCTGACATGGAAGAACAGTTGAAAAAGACTGGATTTGCTGTCTGCTGGATGTTTCTGTTAAAATGATCAGTAACATAGTAAAGAGCTGTTAGCATTTTAATTGTAATTTTTAGGCTTCAGTGTTGTTAGCTCACTGGAAAGAGGAAAAAGCAAAAGAGCAATGCCAGAAGAGCAATGCCTATAAAACAAAAAATATTAGAGAAGCAACAATAATTATTACAAGGAAACTGCAGAAGCACATTTGTGCTGGAAGTTCTATATCAAATTCCACAGCCATGGAGGAATATGCAAAGAACGCTTTCGAGCTTATCTTTAATCCATAGAAATAATGACCAAAAAGTGATAGCCTAGTTGAAATTAGGTGCCCACAAAGTCATTACTAATTGGTAGGATATTACACCTCATACAGTTATTCTCGCTACAGAAGCCTCCGCAAGCATTCCGAATCTAGACAGTATTATCAAGCAAAGGGTTCTTTCAGGTGTGCTAGGAAGATAGACACTAGTTTTTGATGTTTCAATACCAGTAGCATTTCTCTGCTTCCTCTAGGTTTCTGTACACACTATTTGTGCTGTTTATGTTGCTTTTGAATATTTTGATTTTGGGAAATCTTTCCTTCCCTGCACATGCCTCCATCATTTTTCTGTAACAGGCAGTTTGGGCCTTTTTCTTATAGTGCTTTCTACTGGATATGATCTCCTGCTTCACATGTTGCAGAACATCTAGGAAGAACCTTTCTCATTTAAGATATTCCAGGCTAGTTCCTTCACTCGGTTCATCTTCTGGTCCTTCATTTCTACTAGTTGCTGCAGTTTCTTGATCTCCACCATGCTCACCTGGTTTTCTATCAGCGCTGGATGCTGTGTTTTCTGAGTCTCTCTCACAGATTCTCTGGTCATGCGACATATGGCCATCTCCAGCTTTTCCACTTTACTCTGCAGATCTACAATCTGTACTTTCTGGCAATTTATCTGTAGCATCTTCTTTCGAATCAAACGCTCATTGGTTTCCTAAAAGATGAGAAATAATTATTTGGGCTTTTATTTCATTTGCACCAAATCTGGAGGGTTCCCCCATTACACACACACACTCCCCACCCCCCCCCCCGCCCCCCACGCGT